AGGTAAACGCATTCTTACAGCATCGCCTTCATGCAATGTAGGCAGTTCATGGGAGTGCCGGTCATAATAGAACTTCTGTTTCTGCTTCCTAGACTTGATCTTTTCTGGCACATCAGAAATCACCTGTGGGACTAGCAACGACTTGGTAACTGGGAGACGGGTGCGTGTTCGTCGACCATACAGTAGCTGAGCGGGAGACGCATTCATGCCTTCAGATGGAGTGTTGCGCCATTCAAGTAACGCCAGCAAGGGGTCTCGTTTGTCAGCACGGGCTTTTATCAGCAGAGATTTGCAAGTCTTGACTGCATTTTCTGCCCGGCCATTACTTTGTGGGTGATAAGGACTCGAAGTGACATGACGAAAGTCCCATTCTGCACTGAAAGCCTTGAAATCTTCACTGTTAAATGGGGGTCCATTGTCAGTAATTAAGGTCATTGGGATTCCATGCCTGGAAAACCATGATTTCAAAACAGTAATCACACGAGTACTTGTAGTACTGTTCATATCTTGTACCTCAAAATATCCAGAATAATAGTCTACAGCTATTAAAAAGGACTGCCTTTCAAGTACAAACAAATCCACCCCTACCATTTCCCATGGTACGTCAGGGACATCATAGGGCTTTAGAGGCTCTTTACATTGTTCGGGCCGGTAACTGTTGCAAATTCCGCACTTTGATAAGTAATCTTTGAGCTGGGCTGTGATTCCAGGCCAATAGACAATATCGCGGGCCCGTCGCAATGTTCCCTCGATCCCAACATGCAATTCATGCAGGCTCTTAACAATGTTAGAGCGTTCTTTTGCAGGTATTACTAGACGATGACCCCTGTACACCAATCCATCATCAGTGGTCAGTTCATCCCTGCAGTTTTAATCTTTTAATTGAAAATAGTTTTCTATTTATATCATTACCTGTATTAGTGTAATGTATTTATGTTTAGTGTGTTTTTGTGCGTTGTTGCTCAGGGCTCCCATTGATAACAGACAGCTTTTTGCGTCTGAAGGGGCTACCCTGAGCGGTATAAATTAAAAAAGGTTCTTCTTCTTCATTGACATGTTGCGGTCTCTTGCATTCCCACCGTCCATTAATATCTTCGATATGCCACATTGCATAGCCAGACAAGCGAACCACACCGTTCAGTATTTTTTCAGGCCAAACAATGGAAGACTATTCCCACCAACTGAAGAGAATATCACTGCCGTGAAATAAGGGCGTTTGGGTTTGGTTCTTCATTTACCTTGGGTGCAAGGTTTAAACATCCTGAAAGCATTTCAGTTTTCCTTCGGCAGAGAGAAATCACAAGAAGTAGTTCATCTAGCCACTGGAGTAACAGATAGATATTCCGGTTGTGATCGTTTTCATGAAAAAAATTTGTCAAGTGCACCACATATACCGCGACGTGTGATGCTGGTTCCAGAGCTGAAGATTGTCATCAACACTGAAGTCGAGGAACAGTTACACAACAGCATCAATCGCTCCAACTACACCTTTAATATGATGCTTCCAGGAAATTATCTTTTTATGATGCGCCACAAAATCCACCTGAGTGACACTCACATTGACCAAGTGTATAGGCGCAAATTGGAGAAGGCGATTTGTTCTTACACTAAGATGGCAAGAGGACTGCAGCATGACACCAGTGGAATCCTTTTGCTACAGACCACTCAGTCTATAGAATGGGAGAGTCAAGACGAATAAGGCAACGCCAACGAAGGACATTACCTAACAGCCGTAGGGGACAAGAAAGCACCTCAAAGACAATATGACACGGACTAAGAGACAAGTTTTGCTCAACCTGTTAAACAGGGAAATAGCCCCAAGGTAAAATTTCCTCTATTGTTTTTCACTCTTGCAGACCGGCTATTTACTGTTAATTGTATATTAATTTAAAAACACTCAATCGCGAAATATTTCCTAGTTTTTGAACATTGAACTTATTGATATAGTCTGGTGATTTTAATTTGAAATTCGGTGATTTCAAGGGGAGCCATGTAAGTGCCCCCAGGCACGAGAATCAGAGGTTAAGTTGATTTATTTTGTTATGTTCTTTTTTGTCTCACAAGTGCCTTGACTAGTCAAGTGTTAACAATTATCTCGCACATGATTTAGTTGTTTCGTAATACATCTAAAAGCACTTGTGAAAATCGTGTTAGTACATTTTTGAAGAAAGAAAGAAGGGCATCCATTTATTGGACACAAAGCCGCCAATAATGTAAGTTCGCTTTTTAGTTCACATTTTTGATATGTTTGTTTTTGGCTACTTGCTTTCTTTAATTCTGTAAATTTCGTTTTCAGTTTCACGATACAATACAATGAAGTAAAGACAAACAAGATTTCCAGAACAAGCCTGTCTAAGATTTTTGTAGCATCCGTGAATCTTGCGCGGTCTTAAGCCGCAAACAAGTGCCGCTACAGAATGGTTATTCAATAATAAAGAAGCACTGAGATTTTTATTTCAAAGCTGGCGAGTTTTGCTGAATTAACGTCGTTACCATGGAAGGTATTTCCTTACATAACTCAAACTATCAGTGGCAAATTGTGTTTGATTGGTGTTTAGCTTTTCCTTTCAAATGTTTAATTTTGCTCCCTCTAAGGAGACTTCAACTTCATAAAAACGTCATGGTCAAAATCAACTTCTTCGTCCTTGAAATTACATGTAAAAGTTGGAGTTATTTATCCTTGTTAACCAAGCCTAACAGAAAACAGGAATACGTCGCATCAGGTTGTTATTTTTATAAGCGACCTGAGTGAACCATTCTCTTTGGAAACCACATCTACGTGTCGTTGATAGCGAACCCTTACATCCTATTGGCCTAGAATGACACTGTCTTTGAGACCTCGGAATACCATGTGACCCCAACCAATGTGGTTTTCTGTTTGCACGCTCAATTCAATTTGAACTGAAAAACATCAATTGATCTGTTTTGGCCGTTACCGTTTGAAACTGTATTCAGTGTTGTCTTATAGCCAAATAACTATGTCTATTCAACATCCTGCAAGCGAGCTTTTAACCCTGGAATCATCAAAGAATATCAACTCTGAAGTGAGTAAGGTAAAAAGTCCTCCCAAGTATGCCATAGTGTATTGGGAGAGTTTAATATCATGCCACTATCAAAGATTCCTAAAGACAGTAGAGAAGAGGGAGCTTCAGCTACCTTAAAAGCTGAGTGTGAAGAGTGGGAGTCTAAGATAGTTAAAATTGCAGTCGCAAAGTGTCACAGTTTATTACTGTTTGCGTGGTTCCTCTTCACTCGCGGCTTTGATTTCCTCTGTCCACATGGACAATATGAATGATATCGCACGGCTGCGTTTTAGGAATGTCTTAGTCCTCAAGGCGAGTTTCAGTAAAACTTTCAGCAAATTTTTGACACAAATTTCCTTCTAACTATAAGCCAACCCAATCGATTTTGAGACGCTCATTTACTCTAAGTATAACCTTAGTCGATTTTGAAACCTAAACGTCCCTCCCTATAGAAGCCCCTCCGAAAAAGTGTGCCTCCAAACAAAGGCCTTTGAAAAATTTAACCCCCGGGCTTATTTTCCGAATTTTACGCTATTGTACACCAACGTTGAGCAGAACCTCAAGACGATGAGCAAAAAATCCTTAAATCAACCGCAGTCTATTAATTTACATTGCGAACCCATGTTGTCCGAATTTGAAAGAAAAAACATAATGGAAAGAGAAACAATGCAACATCTGTGAATTGAAAATTTTTTTCCCCCGTTATTTTGGTCCTTGCAGATAACGTGATGCTGAAGTGCACTTCAACAGAAGGAAGGACTTTTTGAAAACCAAGGCCACTAGCACTGCACTTACTGTTTCAAATGTGTGAGCTGAAAAATGCAATGGCTGTACATCTCAACACTCACTCCAAGGTCAACGTGTCTCTTCCTTTCATCACTAAAGAGAGACAAAAAAATAACTCTGGAAATTCGAGAGCAACACGGCAAGCTAAAATGGAATGTTCACGGTGCTCAAAAGCTCATCCTCACAACAAAGCCTTGCAAAGACACATTCGCGATCAGCGTACTCGGAAAATGGAGGCTACCATATCCCCGGGCAGACATCTCAAGGGAGCCTCTTCAGTAACCAGACAGAGTGGTCGTCCTACTTTTGACTGCATACACTTACAAAGTGTACAGTATGCACATCCTTTTGAAAAACCCATAGGTCTTTGTGACGAATCTTTAGAAGAAATAGTAGGTGGTTGTTTTAACTGGTTCTCCATAAAGCAAAAAGATATTTGTGTGGCAAAGCGGCAACAGGCTAGGGAACTCAGTAGTCCACTTGTACTTCAGTTTCCGTGTGACGAGTATGGTGCACATTCTCGACCTTTATATTTTTCTGTTTTTTAAGGCGCAGTTCATTTCTGGTCATGTGTTTTTGCAAGGTAGTAGTTTCATACAACAGAAAAACAGCCAAGTGGTCGTGCTGTTGCTGTCAGATGAACGTATCCTGTGTACACAAAGCAGTGTTCAAATGATACCTCTACCAAGAAGAGCGGCATCTAATTGAGGATCCAACAACTGAAACTCAACAAGACTACGAAACAGGCGAAGAGATGGAAGAGGACACAGAAAGCATAGGTTTTGAGAAGTCGTGCGGCTTATACCCCGCAATAGGTAGCGGCCTCAAAGATGCTGTGGAATATCAGATGCAGATAAGGGTACCTGCCGCACTTAAGGGCAAGCAACTAGACGAATTTCCGTCTTTTCTTAAACCCAAGGAGGAAGAATGCTACTATTGCCACACATCTCTCAGCGGCCCTTACAAAATAACCAGTCGAGCCATGACCAAAGTTTAAAGAGGTACACGTCTCCGTCCTTTGAGTAACCCCCTTCTTTAATGAAAACAATCATACCGTCATGACAAATGGTTACAAATACTTCACATTTGGTCAGTCAAGGAGAGGACCAGTGGTGTTTAATTCGGAGCACTAAAAGTGTACTTGAATTTCATCTGATACCACTGAGAAAGAGGATTGAGAAGCAGAAGTTGCAAAGGGTACGTCTGAGGAGGAATTGATTGAAATGATGCACTTTGGGCAGGTAATGACATCCATTGTTTCTATGAGAGTAATATCTAATAATAATAGCTTCTTGTTCTCATATGGTGGTCTATTGTATCAAGTTCGTTCTAAGAGGAGAGAGCCCTAGGGAGAAGACAGAGCCCTACATTGACATGTTGCGGTCTCTTGCATTCCCACCGTCCATTAATATCTTCAATATGCCACATTGCATAGCCAGACATGCGAACCACACTGTTCAGTATTTTTTCAGGCGAAACAATGGAAGACTATTCCCACCAACTGAAGAGTATATCACTGCCGTGAAATAAGGGCGTTTGGGTTTGGTTCTTCATTTACCTTGGGAGCAAGGTTTAAACATCCTGAAAGCATTTCAGTTTTCCTTCGGCAGAGAGAAATCACAAGAAGTTCATCCAGCTACTGGGGTAACAGATAGATATTCCGTTTGTGATCGTTTTCATGAAAAAAATTGTCAAGTGCGCCACATATACCGCGACGTGAGATGCTTGTTCCAGAGCTGAAGACTGTCATCAACACTGAAGTCGAGGAACAGTTACACAACAGCATCAATCGCTCCAACTACACCTTTAATATGATGCTTCCTGGAAATCATCTTTTTATGATGCGCCACAAAATCCACCTGAGTAACTCTCACATTGACCAAGTGTATAGGCGCACATTGGAGAAGGCGATTCGTTCTTACACTGGGATGGCAAAAGGACTGCAGCGTGACACCAGTGGAATCCTTTTGCTACAGACCACTCAGTCTATAGAAAGGGAGAGTCAAGAGGGATAAGGCAACGCCAACAAAGGACATGACCTAACAGCCGTAGGGGACAAGGAAGCACCTCAAAGACAGCATGACACGGACTAAGAGACAAGTTTTGCTCAACCTGTTAAACAGGGAAATAGCCCCAAGGTAAAATTTCCTCTATTGTTTTTCACTCTTGCAGACCGGCTATTTACTGTTAATTGTATATTAATTTAAAAAAGTAGCATCCGTGAATCTTGCGCGGTCTTAAGCCGCAAACAAGTGCCGCTACAGAATGGTTATTCAATAATAAAGAAGCACTGAGATTTTTATTTCAAAGCTGGCGAGTTTTGCTGAATTAACGTCGTTACCGTGGAAGGTATTTCCTTACATAACTCAAACTATCAGTGGCAAATTGTGTTTGATTGGTGTTTAGCTTTTCCTTTCAAATGTTTAATTTTGCTCCCTCTAAGGAGACTTCAACTTCATAAAAACGTCATGGTCAAAATCAACTTCTTCGTCCTTGAAATTACATGTAAAAGTTGGAGTTATTTATCCTTGTTAACCAAGCCTAACAGAAAACAGGAATACGTCGCATCAGGTTGTTATTTTTATAAGCGACCTGAGTGAACCATTCTCTTTGGAAACCACATCTACGTGTCGTTGATAGCGAACCCTTACATCCTATTGGCCTAGAATGACACTGTCTTTGAGACCTCGGAATACCATGTGACCCCAACCAATGTGGTTTTCTGTTTGCACGCTCAATTCAATTTGAACTGAAAAACATCAATTGATCTGTTTTGGCCGTTACCGTTTGAAACTGTATTCAGTGTTGTCTTATAGCCAAATAACTATGTCTATTCAACATCCTGCAAGCGAGCTTTTAACCCTGGAATCATCAAAGAATATCAACTCTGAAGTGAGTAAGGTAAAAAGTCCTCCCAAGTATGCCATAGTGTATTGGGAGAGTTTAATATCATGCCACTATCAAAGATTCCTAAAGACAGTAGAGAAGAGGGAGCTTCAGCTACCTTAAAAGCTGAGTGTGAAGAGTGGGAGTCTAAGATAGTTAAAATTGCAGTCGCAAAGTGTCACAGTTTATTACTGTTTGCGTGGTTCCTCTTCACTCGCGGCTTTGATTTCCTCTGTCCACATGGACAATATGAATGATATCGCACGGCTGCGTTTTAGGAATGTCTTAGTCCTCAAGGCGAGTTTCAGTAAAACTTTCAGCAAATTTTTGACACAAATTTCCTTCTAACTATAAGCCAACCCAATCGATTTTGAGACGCTCATTTACTCTAAGTATAACCTTAGTCGATTTTGAAACCTAAACGTCCCTCCCTATAGAAGCCCCTCCGAAAAAGTGTGCCTCCAAACAAAGGCCTTTGAAAAATTTAACCCCCGGGCTTATTTTCCGAATTTTACGCTATTGTACACCAACGTTGAGCAGAACCTCAAGACGATGAGCAAAAAATCCTTAAATCAACCGCAGTCTATTAATTTACATTGCGAACCCATGTTGTCCGAATTTGAAAGAAAAAACATAATGGAAAGAGAAACAATGCAACATCTGTGAATTGAAAATTTTTTTCCCCCGTTATTTTGGTCCTTGCAGATAACGTGATGCTGAAGTGCACTTCAACAGAAGGAAGGACTTTTTGAAAACCAAGGCCACTAGCACTGCACTTACTGTTTCAAATGTGTGAGCTGAAAAATGCAATGGCTGTACATCTCAACACTCACTCCAAGGTCAACGTGTCTCTTCCTTTCATCACTAAAGAGAGACAAAAAAATAACTCTGGAAATTCGAGAGCAACACGGCAAGCTAAAATGGAATGTTCACGGTGCTCAAAAGCTCATCCTCACAACAAAGCCTTGCAAAGACACATTCGCGATCAGCGTACTCGGAAAATGGAGGCTACCATATCCCCGGGCAGACATCTCAAGGGAGCCTCTTCAGTAACCAGACAGAGTGGTCGTCCTACTTTTGACTGCATACACTTACAAAGTGTACAGTATGCACATCCTTTTGAAAAACCCATAGGTCTTTGTGACGAATCTTTAGAAGAAATAGTAGGTGGTTGTTTTAACTGGTTCTCCATAAAGCAAAAAGATATTTGTGTGGCAAAGCGGCAACAGGCTAGGGAACTCAGTAGTCCACTTGTACTTCAGTTTCCGTGTGACGAGTATGGTGCACATTCTCGACCTTTATATTTTTCTGTTTTTTAAGGCGCAGTTCATTTCTGGTCATGTGTTTTTGCAAGGTAGTAGTTTCATACAACAGAAAAACAGCCAAGTGGTCGTGCTGTTGCTGTCAGATGAACGTATCCTGTGTACACAAAGCAGTGTTCAAATGATACCTCTACCAAGAAGAGCGGCATCTAATTGAGGATCCAACAACTGAAACTCAACAAGACTACGAAACAGGCGAAGAGATGGAAGAGGACACAGAAAGCATAGGTTTTGAGAAGTCGTGCGGCTTATACCCCGCAATAGGTAGCGGCCTCAAAGATGCTGTGGAATATCAGATGCAGATAAGGGTACCTGCCGCACTTAAGGGCAAGCAACTAGACGAATTTCCGTCTTTTCTTAAACCCAAGGAGGAAGAATGCTACTATTGCCACACATCTCTCAGCGGCCCTTACAAAATAACCAGTCGAGCCATGACCAAAGTTTAAAGAGGTACACGTCTCCGTCCTTTGAGTAACCCCCTTCTTTAATGAAAACAATCATACCGTCATGACAAATGGTTACAAATACTTCACATTTGGTCAGTCAAGGAGAGGACCAGTGGTGTTTAATTCGGAGCACTAAAAGTGTACTTGAATTTCATCTGATACCACTGAGAAAGAGGATTGAGAAGCAGAAGTTGCAAAGGGTACGTCTGAGGAGGAATTGATTGAAATGATGCACTTTGGGCAGGTAATGACATCCATTGTTTCTATGAGAGTAATATCTAATAATAATAGCTTCTTGTTCTCATATGGTGGTCTATTGTATCAAGTTCGTTCTAAGAGGAGAGAGCCCTAGGGAGAAGACAGAGCCCTACATTGACATGTTGCGGTCTCTTGCATTCCCACCGTCCATTAATATCTTCAATATGCCACATTGCATAGCCAGACATGCGAACCACACTGTTCAGTATTTTTTCAGGCGAAACAATGGAAGACTATTCCCACCAACTGAAGAGTATATCACTGCCGTGAAATAAGGGCGTTTGGGTTTGGTTCTTCATTTACCTTGGGAGCAAGGTTTAAACATCCTGAAAGCATTTCAGTTTTCCTTCGGCAGAGAGAAATCACAAGAAGTTCATCCAGCTACTGGGGTAACAGATAGATATTCCGTTTGTGATCGTTTTCATGAAAAAAATTGTCAAGTGCGCCACATATACCGCGACGTGAGATGCTTGTTCCAGAGCTGAAGACTGTCATCAACACTGAAGTCGAGGAACAGTTACACAACAGCATCAATCGCTCCAACTACACCTTTAATATGATGCTTCCTGGAAATCATCTTTTTATGATGCGCCACAAAATCCACCTGAGTAACTCTCACATTGACCAAGTGTATAGGCGCACATTGGAGAAGGCGATTCGTTCTTACACTGGGATGGCAAAAGGACTGCAGCGTGACACCAGTGGAATCCTTTTGCTACAGACCACTCAGTCTATAGAAAGGGAGAGTCAAGAGGGATAAGGCAACGCCAACAAAGGACATGACCTAACAGCCGTAGGGGACAAGGAAGCACCTCAAAGACAGCATGACACGGACTAAGAGACAAGTTTTGCTCAACCTGTTAAACAGGGAAATAGCCCCAAGGTAAAATTTCCTCTATTGTTTTTCACTCTTGCAGACCGGCTATTTACTGTTAATTGTATATTAATTTAAAAACACTCAATCGCAAAATATTTCCTAGTTTTTGAACATTGAACTTATTGATATAGTCTGGTGATTTTAATTTGAAATTCGGTGATTTCAAGGGGAGCCATGTAAGTGCCCCCAGGCACGAGAATCAGAGGTT